AACAATGCTCAGGTAGGCCGTGGCATTTAAACGATGCCCAATTGGCACTAAGGGGCCTAAAGTGTGCCAGGAAAACATCCCCCACACCATTACACCACCACCACCAGCCTGCACAGTGGTAACAAGGCATGATGGTTCCATGTTCTCATTCTGTTTACGCCAAATTCTGACTCTAACATCTGAATGTCTCAACAGAAATCGAGACTCATCAGACCAGGCAACATTTTTCCAGTCTTCAACTGTTCAATTTTGGTGAGCTCTTGCAAATTGTAGCCTCTTTTTCCTATTTGTAGTGGAGATGAGTGGTACCCGGTGGAGTCTTCTGCTGTTGTAGCCCATCCGCCTCAAGGTTGTGCGTGTTGTGGCTTCACAAATGCTTTGCTGCATACCTCGGTTGTAACGAGTGGTTATTTCAGTCACTGTTGCCCTTCTATCAGCTCGAACCAGTCTGGCCATTCTCCTCTGACCTCTGGCATCAACAAGGCATTTCCGCCCACAGAACTGCCGCTCACTGGATGTTTTTTCTTTTCCGGACCATTCTCTGTAAACCCTAGAGATGGTTGTGCGTGAAAATCCCAGTAGATTAGCAGTTTCTGAAATACTCAGACCAGCCCTTCTGGCACCAACAATCATGCCACGTTCAAAGTCACTCAAATCACCTTTCTTCCCCATACTGATGCTCGGTTTGAACTGCAGGAGATTGTCTTGACCATGTCTACATGCCTAAATGCACTGAGTTGCCGCCATGTGATTGGCTGCTTAGAAATTAAGTGTTAACGAGCAGTTGGACAGGTGTACCTAATAAAGTGGCCGGTGAGTGTATATATAAAGTATTATTTTACATTCATATTTAATAATGTTATTGAATATTTAATTTTATATTAATAATATAATAAAATAATTGTGTATATTTTATTACTTGTGTATTTTATTTTATAGATATTATAATTTTGCATAGAGCACGCATACTGTATCCCACAATGCGACCTGCTGAATTTGACTTTAAAAAGCTTTAAAAATACAAAATATCTTTATTTTACACAGTCATGTGACCGCAGTGTAGTTTCGGCACTACCAGTTGAACCATTATAAAAGGAAGCCTTTCCATTCTGAACACAGCCTTAATCTAACGGGCCTGTATTTGTGATGTGAATAATGATTATTATTATATAGTTGTGTTTGGGTGGGATTTTGAGCATTTCTCTTTCCTCTTTCTTTCTTTCTCTTAGGACATAAGATGAAATTCCTGTCCAAAAAGTGAGAAATGCCTTCACTAGCCGTGTTGCATGATCATGTTAGATCGTCTGACCCAAACCTGACCATCAGGACGGGCTACGGAGACCCGGCGGGACCAAAGTCAAGGAAAACATGGGCCGAAACACTGTACGGAAACAAACCCAGTCCATTCTAGTTCACCAAACCACAAGGACCTTAAAGAACTTTATTGTAACAGAAGTGGTGATTATATATGTACAGTTCTTTCTCTCGTTTTCTACATTTTTAAGAGATAGTGTACAACTTCTTCTGAAACAGGAGGCTATAAATTAATTTATATTCTTTCTAGAAATAATACGACTTTTATGACTTCCTCTGTAAAACTTTATATGTTTTCCCTTAAAAATTAAATAAAATTCAAAATGATGATGTTAGTCTATTTATCGTAGCACGTCGTTACAGACTCGAGACTGCCGAGAAACGCGCCACTGTGACCGAATTAATTCCTAATTTATACATTTGTTTTGGTATTTAAAAAAAGGTTCTCGACCCAAAACCAGAACAAAGCTGGAGTTTGGAGATGGTCTTCGGTACATTTCAGGAACACCACTAGAGTTGCTTTTTTTAAGTGTGCTTAATAAACAGTTTTCACTAGGATTTTATCTGGCGTCAGAATTGTTTTTAACCATAGATCTTGCCTGGTCACCTGCTTTCCTGTGGATCTGGAGTCTTGGATGTGGTGTCACCATCTCATTTGCTTCATGTTTACTGGATGTTTACTGGATCTTACTGTGTGCAGGATGTTCCACTGGATTGGGATCGTCTTCTAACCTTTGCATCTTTAGGTAGTGCACACAGCGAGTGTGTTTCAGGTGCAGTTTTGTTGGCGTCCTGTGGAGGGCTCCTGAACCTGTTGGACACACAACAACGTCTCTGATATTTTTCATTGAAAACTTTTTTAAAAACAGACCAGTCGAGCTGTTGACATTGCCTTTACACCAGGAACAAGTATGGATACTGTCCAACACCCCCAAATAAACACTCATTCCATGGTTATTTTTTTGTACAATGTTAATTCCTTGGAGTTGCATGTAAATAAATTGCTATATGAATTTGGCAATAATTCACTACAAAGGAACGCTTATTTGAAAGCATTTATTGTACCATGCTAGAACCACAATTCTCCAAATGAGGATTTTACCCTTTGAAAAAAGCTGGCAGTGTTAGTAGTCACTAAAGAGCATTAAGCATGTACCACCGTATTTACATGCTACTCCAAGGTAAAACATAGTAGTACCATGGTATTTTCTGGTGCTTTTTCTGGTGGAAGTGACATTAGGGATCTTACTTTATAATAACAAAACACATTAACAGTTATTATTAGTAGTATTATTATTTATTTTATTTTACCAGGAAGGTCCCATTGAGAGACAATATCTCTTCTACCAGGGAGTCCTGGTCAAGATAGGCAGCACAAACAAAAATACAAAGTAATATGACACAACATAACTACAAAACAAGAGTACCCATATCTGAGAAGCAATATTAATCCTAATCAACTGTTAAAACATTTACACCGTTCTATGAAAACAGACTTTAAAAGGGTTTTAAATGAAGCTAAAGATGGTAAATATTTCATATATGATATACCCTGAAGTTCATTCCATACATAAGGAGCGTAATTAGAAAAGGCTGAGTAATTATCATTACTTCCCCCACATACACTGATGAAGAAACACAAGAAGTAAAGATTGCACACTAATAACGTAAAAAAAGACTATATATATATATGTTATTTGTTTGTATGTGATAATTGTTACACACACATACACACCCATATGTATATGTATTTTAAACTAATTTATTCCTGTGATCAAAGCTGAATTTTCACATGATCCTTCAGAAATCATTATAATATGATAATTTCCTGCTCAAGAAACATTTCTTATCAATGTAAAAAAAAAAAACGAAAAAAAAACAGCTGCTTCAGCATTGTTACAACATTATCTTTATATTGTTTTTGGTTAAAACTATCTTTTAATACTTAACATAAAGAAAGAGTGGGGTTTTATTTCTTTTGTATGACTTTTAGGACACTGCAGTCTCTCATACTGACCAGAACAATATGAATCCCTCTGGATCCAGGCTTATTTCCTTTTCTCTCCACACCAAGACTGCTCCTTTTTCCTTTCCAAACCCGAGACCTCCCCTCCTCCCCTCCTCCCTCTCTCTCTCTCTCTCTCTCTCTCTCTCTCTCTCTCTCTCTCTCTCTCTCTCTCTCTCTCTCTCTCTCTCTCTCTCTCTCTCTCTCTCTCTCTCTCTCTCTCTCTCTCTCTCTCTCTCTCTCTCTCTCTCTCTCTCTCTCCTGTCCGCTCCTCACGTTATACTGAAGCCAATTCCTGAAATTCCAGCCTTCCTCGCGCGCTTCCAGTCACTCAGGCAGATTTTACCCCTAAAACACTTCATTTACCCTAGGCTACTGTTGCCGCAGACAGGTAAGAGTTTTATTTATTTGCATAATTCAAAGTGGCATTTGTTTGTGTACTTATTTTAAATATTTTTTTGTAAAGTAAACGAACTCGTAGCTACAGCTGTACAGATCTTCACCTCACATAACCATATTTCAGAACAGCCGGGAAACGAGCTCATTGAAGTGGTTATTCTGACACATGATGACGAAATGTGATGTAACAATGGAATGTTTGGAATTGTTGGAATTTTTACCGAATTCCCTCGTTCTTTTTTCTGCCTCACTGGAGCGACTTCCTAGGTAACGTCCGGAAACTTTCTGAGGAACTTTAATCGCGTCATAGGCGCGCGGGTGCTCAGCAGGAGCGCGTGTGGCGGGAATATCAGTTCCTTCATTATTATCGCGATTAGAAACTTAAACGTAAAATTGGTTCTTTAAATACTAACAAATGTCTGCAGGTGTTTTTCCGTCACATGAACCAGTTTAATAAGTGTGGAAAAAGTATATCATATTTATAAAAAAGAATTATATTGATCTATTGAACTTGCCTGTTTAATATATTAATCAATATACATTTTTTTTTAAATATGATATACTTTTTCCACACTTATTAAACTGCTTCATGTGACGGAGAAACACCTGCAGACATTTGTAGCTGTGTAAAGGTTATTATTATTGTTTTGTTTTAAGCTAAAATAGCAATCAAATAGTAATATTACCGTATATAAAATATTGTATTTTTAAATAATTGTAATCCAATGTTTATTCATTTAGGCTATTTTTCTGCAAGTAGGCTAATAAGCCTATTCCACTAAAATATCTATCTATCTATCTATCTATCTATCTATCTATCTATCTATCTATCTATCTATCTATCTATCTATCTATCTATCTATCTATCTATCTATCTATCTATCTATCTATCTATCTATCTATCTGTCTGTCAAAGGTTTGGGCACCAATCATTTTGTACTCTGGTAAAATAATAGAAAAGTGATAAACTCTGGGAGTAATGTTGTGATCAAAACATCTTTTGTCTTTCTTTCTTTTTAAGGAGTCCACAATTATTTCCTTCACTAAAATGTTAGTTTTGTCAAGAAAATCAATGGATTATTTGCATTTGTCAACAACATTAATGTTCAAGCACAGATCATCAGAAACATCCACATTTTTTACTGCATATTTGTATGTTTTCGTCGATCTCTCTGGGTCTTTTTTTTGTTTGTTATTTTTTTGTTATTGTTGATGTTAATGAATGATCCTAAGACAATCAGAATGACTGTGATTGTCAGTGTCAGCGGGTCTTAAAGAGCACATGACCGCAGCGGTCGCTCTGCCAGCTGGCCTCATGGGTAAATATTTCGAGTGTTGGGGTGAGGAGTCAGTGCCCGGGGGACATAATATTGTCCCGGCGTAACAGGTGGAATGAGGCCGGTGCACACCTGCTCGCGGCACTGGAGGAATTATGGTGTTATTTTAATAAAAGGCATCATTAAAACACAGGGAAGCATTATTAAACGCAGCATCAGGCCTCATTAGAGCTCCATAAAGTGGCGTTTACTCGTGGCCTCATCTGTGTCTGAGTTCAGGTGAACTGGCACACTCTTGCATTTAGTTTTTAGGTTTTTATCTTGTGAAGATGTAAGTGCAAACAAGAAAACATATGCTGTTTAATTGGTTGAATGTGACCCGTGATCAATATTTGCGTTCTAGATTCGTTCTGCAGTCTTACTTTAAAACAAACGCACACAGCAGGCTGTCCATACAAATGTGTGTGTTTATGGAAGTGTGTGTGAATATCTGCATGAGTCAGTGTGTGTATTGTGCTGTTAGGATCAGGAATTGTCTGACATAAACACACACACACACACACCTGCTTTTCAAAGTTAATCCTGAATTTTAACAGTTCATATAGAACATATGATAGAGACGTTTTATAATTTGTGTATTATGTGTGTGTGTAATCACATCAAATTATGGTATATATCCCCAACACATGGTATTGCTATGGTAAATGTCCATAAAACATATAGGGTTACAATGTTAATGTCATCACATAAAAGTGCTGTGGTGATAAATCAATAGTATAATTTGATATTTCAACATTAATGCAAGTTTACCATGGTATTACCACAGTACATGTCTGAAAGACCGTGGTAGCAGTTTGTTTAGTGCCATAATTCTGTAACATTTGTACCATTAAAACAATGTTGTATTTGCGTTGCTGCAGTGTTAGCCACGTTTAACCTGTAAGGCAGTTGTGTTGTTTTAGTGCTATTATCACATTAGCACGCTGTTATAAGAGACGCTCTTAATGAAACACTCGCGGTGTGTCAGGAACTCTTGATCAGAGCCGACCGCTCCTCCGGCTACACTGTTATTGGTCAAACAATATGAGCTTTAAATTAATGTACGGCCCATAGCTAATATCCTGTGTGTGTGTGTGTGTGTGTGTGTGTGTGTGTGTGTGTGTGTGTGTGTGTGTGTGTGTGTGTGTGTGTGTGTGTGTGTGATGGTTCACAGCGACTCACAGCTTCACATTCCAGCCCTGATTAAAGTGGATTTTCTTCTGTGTTTATGTTTTTTTTTATGCTCTTTGAGTCGTGTTGGTGTGTGTTTGTTCTGTATGTTTGTTACACACACGTGAATGTACATCTCTCTCTGTGTGTGTGTGTGTGTGTTTAAACTGGAAAGGTTTTGTCTTTTACTCAACTTTTGTTTGTCATTCCAAACCTACAGTATATGACGATCTTTCTTCTGTGTAACACAACAGAAGATATTGTGAAGAACATTTGGAACCAAACAACATTGGACCCCATTGATTTAAAAAAAAAATCATAAAAATAAATAATACTATTTTTTTTTTAAATATATAAATTACAAATAATAAATAAAAGAAAGACAATCATACTGGTTTTGGAACAACATGAGGATGAGTGAATGATTTCTGAATTTTGGGTTGAACTATCACTTAAATTCTTCCCAACACCATTTACTTGTGTGTGTGTATAAAAACATGTACACTCATTTTAAACTAAAGCAATAATCTATCATTTTGTTGTGTGATTTTGCTATGGTTAAGGGGTTTTCTGAGTCATGCACAATACAAAATGGCTTAAAACCATTATAACCATGGAAAAAATCACTTTAATGCACAGCGTATGATATGGCGACAACAGCAAAAATATGATTTTTAGATATTCTGAAGCCACCAGCTTGTTAATTTTGACTAAAACAAAAACAAAACCAAAAATAGTTTTTGGTAATTGAAATAAAGCTGAAATAAAATATAGATATTACATGAAAACTCAAACATAAACGAAATGTTGCAAAGTTTAAAGTTTTTAAATTAAAAGTTTAGAAGTAGGCTACTAAAATATTATATTTTAAAAAAAAAACTAATAAAAATGACAAAGGACATACAATTACTAAAACTTAAACTAAAATTTAAAATGAAACTGCAAATATAAAAAGTTAATTCAATATATTTATAAATACTACAGTAAATATACAGTTTTTGTTTTGTTTGTGTAGTCGTAGAGTGTGTAAATGTTTGATGTTGGTGCTGTATTTTGTAGTTTTTTGACTATTTTGTAGTCAGTTCTGCATCGAGCATTAGTCTCGGTCAGACCTTCAAGGGTCCGATCTGTGAGTGAGAGTGAGTTTTGTACAGGAAGTCAAGCTCAGAGTAAAGCTTTGCTCAGCGGCTCACACACTCACAAATACAATAATTCCCAGAATTGCACCGAAATGTTTGAGAAACACATATACTTGCGTGTAACTAATCGTTTAGGTGCAAACTCAGTTCATGGAGAGCCACAGTTTCCTTCTTAAACACCCGATCCACTAAACTAAGCTCTGCACCCCTGGTGTACATGGATCTCTCTTCATATCACATGCTGTTAAACTCACGAAGTAGCGAAGTGTGTGCATTTGTTTTGAGGGACCCCTGATCAGATCTCTTAAAATAGCGCTGTCTGGCTGGAGGCCGATTCTCATTGCAGTTTCGAGGCTGCAGACGTGGTGTCACTCTGTGTCCCCGACTAATGTGATTTCGGAACCGAAACGCTTTTTCCAAGTAGGATTATGGAGTCTGGAGATCTGTCTGATGAATGCTGATGACTGGGGGTCGCCTCATTCACGCCGTCATGATACCCGACTGGAACCACCGTGTAATATAGCAACATCTGCAATAGCAATGGCTAATCTGGATGACGTAATAGCAAATTGTGTTTTTTTTTATCTTTTTTTTTATCTTCAGAGATGATCTTAAAGGCACAATATGTAAGGTTTTCCGCCATTTTTAATGGATTCACACCCTTTTTTATGCTACTACTCCCACAAGAGTTTGTCCGATCTTAAATCTTCAGACCAAGTCTCGCATAAGTTACTTACTGAATGTTTGGTTTTCAACATCATTTTCACTATTTTGCTGTCACAACAATTGCTTGATATGAAGTTTCATGTAAATAATTAAAAGCCGTACCAAGATACCATTCCTGACTTCCTGTTTGCCATCTTCATTAAGGTTTTTTGGGGAAAATAGTGAATTTTTATACCAAGTCTCACAAAAGTCACTTAATGAATTTCTGGCGTTCTGCACCATTTTTCCCGATAAACTTTAACGAATTCAGAAATTAACGCGCCAATGCATTAACACAAAACTTTGCTAACTAGCCACAAGAATATTAAGCAAATGTGTTATAAAAACTGTTATAAAACTATAGATTTGTATTCATTTTAGCTATAATTTAATTATTCCGTTTTCAGAAGAAGAAGAAAAAAACAGCAAAAATAATGAAAAAACAGTTATTTTAAGCAATATTATGTTTAAGATTGAGGTTTTTACTTACAGGTAATAAAAAAAACGATTTGGGAAAAATGAATACATTTAAGTTGGAATGCAGTAAAATTAAGTTAGACCAATGTAAATAAAAGTATTCAATTAACTCAAAGAATATAAGTGTGATTGACAGTGAAATTAGGTTGATAAAAAGCAAGTTACATTTTTAAGTTACATTTAATTTTTACCAATTAAAGTAATAAAAAAATGACATTCTACTTTTCCTAAATTTATCAATGTGAGTGCAATGACCTAATCGAGCTTCTGCCCTGTTCCAGATCTGGGAAAACCCATCATTTAATCGCCACGGAGCGATTTCGGAGCGGAAATCGTATTGCTCTTCCATCACCATCCTGTCGTCCGAGTGGGTCTCGGCGTCCTCTCCGGGGGGCGCTAGCGAGGAGCTGAGCGAGGGATTGGACAAGCCTCTGGAGAACGATGCGGAGGGTGTGTGGAGTCCGGATATCGAGCAGAGCTTTCAGGAGGCGCTGGCGATCTATCCGCCCTGTGGCCGACGCAAGATCATTCTCTCCGATGAGGGCAAGATGTACGGTATGCCCCTCCCCTTTTCCCTCTCTGTATTTTCCTTTGCAGCCAATCAGGGATTTTGATGAGATTTCTGCACCAATACTGGCACCACGGGGAAATATTAATGTGGTTTCCCAAACATCTGAAAACATCTGGCTTTTCTTTTTCCCCCAAATATTTATTCCTTAAAAGTACTTTAAAAGTACTAATATAGTGGGTGTTGGTTGACTGGGTTGGTTGGTTAGTTGATTGATTGATTGATTGATTGACTGGGTTGGTTGATTGAATGATTGGGTTGGTTAATTGATTGGTTGGTTGATTGATTGATTGGTTGACTGGGTTGGTTGATTGAATGATTGGGTTGGTTAATTGATTGGTTGGTTGATTGATTGATTGGTTGACTGGGGTTGGTTGGTTGGTTGGTTGGTTGGTTGATTGAATGATTGGTTGGTTGGTTGGTTGGTTGGTTGGTTGGTTGGTTGGTTGGTTGGTTGGTTGATTGAATGATTGGTTGATTGGGTTGGTTGATTGATTGGGTTGGTTGATTGGTTGACTGATTGGGTAGGTTGATTGGGTTGGTTGGTTGGGTTGGTTAATTGATTGGTTGGTTGATTGATTGGTTGGTTGATTGGTTGACTGATTGGGTAGGTTGATTGGGTTGGTTGGTTGGTTGATTGGGTTGGTTAATTGATTGGTTGGTTGATTGATTGATTGGTTGACTGGTGTTGGTTGATTGGGTCGGTTGGTTGGTTGATTGAATGATTGGGTTGGTTGATTGATTGGTTGGTTGATTGGTTGACTGATTGGGTTGGTTGATTGGGTTGGTTGGTTGATTAAATGTTTGGTTGATTGGGTTGGTTGGTTGGTTGGTTGGTTGGTTGGTTGGTTGATTGAATGTTTGGTTGATTGGGTTGGTTGGTTGGTTGGTTGGTTGATAGAATGTTTGGTTGATTGACTGGGTTGGTTGGTTGGTTGGTTGGTTGGTTGATTGAATGATTGGTTGATTGGGTTGGTTGATTGATTGGTTGGTTGATTGGTTGACTGATTGGGTTGGTTGATTGGGTTGGTTGGTTGATTGAATGATTGGTTGATTGATTGGTTGGTTGACTGATTGGGTTGGTTGATTTGGTTAGTTGATTTGTTTGATTGATTGATTGGCTGATTGATTGATTGGGTTGGTTGATTGATTTGTTGATTGATTGATTGATTGATTGATTGATTGGTTGGTTGGGTTGATTGATTGGTTGACTGGGTTTGTTGGTTAATTGATTGATTGGGTTGATTGATTGGTTGACTGGATTTGTTGATTGACTGGGTTGGTTGGTTGGTTGGACAAAAAAAACAAAACAAAAAACAGCATGAATAACCAGTAATATTACACAGTCAGATTTTTATTATGTTTTATATTTTATATTCCTTTCTGAAAATACCGTATAAAAAACAAATATTTCCAAATTTTTTAATTTCCAAAGCATTCAAATGGACAAACAAAAACCGATGCTCGCATACTTCCACCAAAGGTTATTCACTAACTTATTATCAAGGCCATGTTTGAATTTATTTCTTTATCACACCGTCCTTAATTCACAATTCTGCTGAAGTATCAGGTGATTTGTGTGGATTTTCAGATGTCTACAAGGACAAGTCAGTCAAACTCTAAAGAAACCTTTTGAATTGTTTAATAGTTTTGCGAACAGAAAAAAAGCTGCCAGAACATAACATGAGCCTGTAATGCACAATCACATTTCCAAATGCATGATGCTCTTGATGCAAACGCTGCTTTTAGTTGTTGTGATGCATCGAAATGTCTGAATATGATTTATTTCGATTAGTTGTGCAGCTCTAGTCTGTATATGAATTGCTATAAATAGCCTATAACCAATGTGTGTTTTTACTATAAATGTCTGTCTGTGTGATCCGGACTTGTTGATGGCCAGAAATGACCCGATGATGGGTTGGTGCAGCTTGATTTGGACCGAACACTGGATGAGAAGGAGAGTGAGAGGATGTGTGTGTCTGTCATCTTCCCATCAGCTGTGAAACTTTATCAATCTTCATAAAGTAGTGTCAATATCGGTGGAGAGGGAGGGTCGTAGGGGGCATCTGGGGTGGATCTATCGGGGCCGGTAGTTTAGGAGCGGTAAAGCTTGTCCGGAATGGCACGCCATGGGCATCCAGAGCCCCGAGTTCAAGGCAGAGAGGGTGTAACCCGACACGAGACTGGACGTTTACCCTTTGAGCATGTGCGACGGAGAGGGACAAATAAACACAAAAGGGGGAGGGGGGGTGGGGGGCAGAGCACCTGTTTCTGCGGCCCCCGCTCGCGACCCCGTTGAGTGAGTTTGTGTGTGTGTTGCCTTTCAGTTCACCTCCAGCTGCCTCTCCTCATGCACGCAGACACGACTGGATTTACAGCACACAAGGAGAGACAGACAGACAGAGAGAGAGAGAGAGAGAGAGAGAGAGAGATGGTGTTAACACTTGGATTACATGGAGCTCAGCATCAGCCACTATCAGCTCAGACAATTCACTCATCATGCTTATCCATCAATACTCATCACCTCTCAACAGAGAGTTCACACCAAAATTAAAATTAACATTTACTCATAGTCTTTATGAGTTTGAATTAATTTAAATGATATATTATTAAATATATGTATGTTATATACTGTATAAATGTTATGAATTTTATGTTACACTCCTTTTTTACTCCTTTTTTTAACTTATTAATGAACTATTTGTTTAATTGATTAAAATCTGACTCTGAATCATTCATCTTCCCATTCCAGATTTGAAAGCAACTGTAGAAACACATGAATATTTAATGAGATTAACGCTGATGCAGTTTTTGATTGTCAATTGCTGCTAAACAATTACAAGTGTAAAACGTTGCTTTATCAATATGTTTCAAACCCAAGGTTAAGATTTTAGATGCAAAAAGTTAGTCCTTGTACTTTTTCGACATTATATATAAGGTTCTGTACTTCTATCTTTGGAAACGGCCTGCTTCCCAGTGTTCCCGAGGTCAAGAAGCACATTGAACATTTTATAATGTCTTGAGCTATAAGAGAAACCTCAACCCTGGAGTGTTTGCCGCAAATCAGATAGAGCTTCTTTCATGGCTGCGTTTGGCCCCTGCAATTTCAGATAATCACGCAAATAGCGACAATCTACAGTGGTTAAAGAATGAGGAGAATTCCCACAATGCACTCGTGACCCTTTTCCAGAGGTTTTGATCAAATTCCTCCACCGCCATTCCTTCCTCTATACTGGTGTTTGTGGCATATTTGCATGGAAACTCACTGGCTGTTATTATCCAGCTAGGCGTACCAGCGCACTTAGATTGTTTGGCTTTTGGTGTGCTGGGTGAAAACTCAACAGGCTTTGCCAAAGAAAACATTTCTTGGCTTTCGTCGTCACTGTACCGTAATGCATTCACTCTCCCGACCCGTAAAATTACACACAGCCGCTGAAAGGAAATACATTTGCCATGGTTTAATGGCTCCCAAGCATCCCGTGGCAAGATAAGTACCCACATAATGGAGCACTTCTCCACCTGTTCAGAAGTTGTTCAGAAAATCAGGACTTGTCATTAAAAGGACATTTTTGTGAGGAATATGGGATGTGTGCTGAATGAGAAATCCCAGCTGTGTGAGTCTCAGAAATCACATTACAGACCGTACAACATTTTTGCATTTTGTCTTACGAGTTCGTGAGAATGCGAAGACAGCTTTTGAATAAATTACGCTTTATTTCACTATAAAATGCACCAAACCACCTCAAAATATAGCGAAAATGAAGCCTATTTTAAGGCCTTTAGGATTTTCATTAAGTTTACATTTTTAAGCACTATTTCTTCACAAATTAGTATTATTGAAATGAGAAAAAAATCTCGAACAAGTCAAGTCAAGAAAAAATAATGATATTAAAATTAAAGTAAAAAAGTTTAAGATTGTTTTATGTTTTTGAAAGAAGTCTCTTCTGCTCACCAAGGCTGCGTTTATTTGAGCACAAATACAGTAAGAACAGTAATATTGTGAAATATTATTACAGTTCAATATTAGTGTTTTCTATGTGAATATATTGTTAAACTGTAATTTATTCCTGTGATCAAAGCTGCATTTTCAGCATCATTACTCCAGTCTTCAGTGTCACATGATCCTTCAGAAATCACTCTAATATGATGATTTGACGCTCATTTTTGATATTATCAATGTTGAAAACAGTCGTGCTGCTTCGTATTTTTGTGGAAACCGTGATACTTTTTATTTTTCAGGATTCTTTGCTGAATAGGAAGTACAAAAGAACAGCATTTATTTGAAATAGAAATAATTTGTAACATCAAAACTGTCATTTTCGATCAATTTAATGCATCCTTGTTGAATAAAAATATTATTTTCTTTAAAAACAAATCTTACGAATCACAAGCTTTTGGTGTACGTTAATAATTGTTGTTGGCATTACATTTTTACTGATTTAAATAAAAAGATAATTGAATTACAGTAATAAAAAATCTAATGAAAAACACAGAAATACAAAAAAAATATACAGTTTGAAAACATGTTCATCTGTCATGAAAATAATGCCAATTTAAAAGTACAAAAAAATTGAATGAACATTTTTATTTATCAAATTCATTTTAAAGTGTGACCTGGACATGTTTTTATAATATTCATCCACCATAAGTAAAAAAAAATGTGCAATTTTACATTTTAAAATAATTTTTTCTTTAAATTACTGTAAAAAGGATTGTTATAGTAAGTGTTCGTGCTGCCTAAAAATGTTAAGCTTAGTCAACTTAAAATGTGAAGCTGAACTAAGTGACAACTTGGATATTTGAGTTGACTAAACGTAAAATTTGAAGACAGCACGAACACTTACTTTTTTAAGTTGAATCAACAATTTTTTTACAGTGGGGAAAAAATCTTAACATTTTGCTGTCCAATAAAAGAATTAGTCATGAAATTGTCAATACTTCTGTTCATTCAGTGCACTGCACTGTGGGATATATGCGGTTTACAATG